GGAATCATAACAGCTGCTGGTGCACACAGCTGCCAGCACCACTGGACAAAAGAAAGGCACAAAGAAGAACCACAGTGGAAAAATTGTCTTCAAAAAAGTGATACATTTTTTGAATGATACCAAAACTCCCTGCAACATCACCACTGTATTCATTAGAAATCACTGGGAAGACACATACTCTACATTAACAGGACTCAAGTATCTTTATGTTAATTCATAAGACAAGTTTCTGATGTAAGTGATGTGAAAAGAGAAAGAGCTGGCTTCATTAAACTTGTCCCTGTACTTGAGTAAATCCTTTGCAGTATAACTCCTTTTTCACAGAAGGTGGCTGGAAGTACTAGGGATTTAACTGAGTCAGACGGAGTTAGGAAAGCCAATGCAGTCACCTTGGTCAGCCTCAACTGGGACTCCCACCCATACCTTCTTCCCTTGGGCCCATGAGCTCCACTTCAGCACAGATCTGGAGCTCCAGACTCCTGTCTACCATTGACCTTGTCTCTTGGATGGATGATGAGCCCATGCTGCAGCCTTGTCTCCAGTCAACTCTCTGGTACCATCTCTTCTTGCTTAACACACTTTCTGGGATGGACCTTAGGCTTGGTTCACCCCCTTGCTGTGCCTGGGGCTGACAAAAGGCTCCACTATCAGGCACTGGTGCTGCCTGCTGTGTGCAGAATTGTGGAGCTGTGCCCCACTTGTGAGGATACTGGCCGCACAGGGATCACCCTTGGCTCCCAATTTTGTGATAAGAATGGTCTTCACAGGCAGACCAGCTGAAAAAGGAAATCTAAGAAAATGCTCAGAGATTGGGATTAAGTAATTCAGAGGCCACTCTCTATTATCTTTGAAAGGTTATGATGATCCAGGAAGGCCCTTGAGGACTCAACAAAATCAAACGTCACTCTCAGCTTCAAGAAAAAGATTTGGAGAACTACAGGCTGGTCAGTCACATGTTAATCCTTTGGAAGGTGATACAGCAAATACTCCTGGAAGCTGTTCCCAGACATATGAAGGACAAAAAACTGGGAGTAATCAGCATGAATTTATGAAGGGGAAATGATGCCTGACCAGCCTGGCACTTGTACAACAAAATTACTAGCTTGGTAGATGAGGGGAGAGCAATGTATGTTGTTTGGCAAAGCTTTTGATGTGACATTCCACAACAACCTCACAAACTGAGGAAGCATGAACTAGAGAAGTGAATGGTATTGTGGACAGAAAACTGGCTGAAGTGCTAGATTTAAACGGTTATGGTAAGCACCACAAGGTCCACCTGGAGGCCAGTCTCCAGTGGTGTATCCCAAGAGAAAATACCAGGAATAACATTGAATTATTGAAAACTTGAATGTTTATTGATGGTCAGACAGCATCTTTGGCAAGTTTGTAGACAATAAAAAATTGGGAGAAGCGGTTGATGCACAAGATGGCTGTGCTGTCATTCAGAAGGACCGTCCAGGCCAGAGAAATAGACCAACACAAATCTTAAGAAGTTCAACAAAGGGAAATGAGAAGTTTCATATTTAGGGAGGAATAATCCCACACACCAGTACAAGCTGGAAAACAACTTTGTAGAAAAGCAGCTGGGGTTCCTGGTAGACAAACTGAACCTGAGTCAGCAATGTGCCCTTGAGATAAGACATGGCCAACAGCACCCTGAGCTGCATTAGGCAGAGCATCCTCCATAGGTTGAGGGAGAAGGTGATCCTTTCCCTCTTATTAGCCATGGTGAAATACATATGAAGTGCTATGTTCAGTTCTGGACTACTCAGTCACATGAGAATACTGGAGCGAGTCCTACACAAGGAACATGAAGATCAAGGGATGAAGCACACACATCATGAAACAACAGGCAGGGCTCTGCAACATAAAATCACATCACTAGGCTTTCATGCTAAGTGAAGTTCTGTGAGGTAAATCCACTGTCTGCCTCTGAGCTCTGATGCCTACTAAGCTAATTTGCTATCTAGCATTTTGTAGATTTTCAGTATTAACTCTACTGTATTAAACGGGAGATGGTCTAAAAGAGCCTTAGGGCAGCATTTTACATCACAAGATGAACAGTTTCAATCCACAGCAAATATTTCAGAAGTCTGTTAGTAGCTCACATATGCTTTTCCTCCTCTTTTGCCTCAAGCCTTCAGCTCCTAGGACATGTCTCAAAAGAATCAATACATGAAAATCGATACAACTGCAATAATCCTAACAGCTTTTAGCAAAGGAAAAAAGACTGCATATTTTAGCTGGTGATTCCAGCTATCCACATAGGCATTTTTAATGTGAAGAAATTTACAGTACCCATGTTAAGTGGGAAAATTGCTCCTAGATATCTTGAAGGTCCATCCATCCTTTGAAACCTACTATAACACCACTACATCCATAGTCCCTCTGAGCCCTCAGATGCAAGATCTCCATCAAGCAGTCATTATCCATGTGTAATCTCTACCCTCTGAAATATAAGGTTAAGATTTAGTATCACCTCAGATAGCCTCAGACTGAATCAGTTAGGTAACGTGTTATACAGCAGTTGGAAAGTTGAGAAGCGTGTTACATTGTTACACAGCTCTCCAGCTTACTATGTGTCACAAAAAACACAGCTTAAGCTAAAATAGAAAGTGTTGCAAACAGTATGAAACACTTGAGAAACACTGTCTTTAATATTACTGTGAGTATACAGTTTCTACAGCACTACAGCTATAGCTGGTTCACATCATAATCTGATAGGAAAAAACCCCAACAGCTGTTTGGAACACTTAGTTGAATGTTTCAGCTCCAAATTACACTTTTAGTGTAATGTAGTCCTGTTTGACAACTAATATAGAGATATTGAGTATTATTTCCCCTCGCATCTCTGTGTAAAGAAAGGGGAGGAAAGAAAGATACCAATTTTAAACACTAATAATTTTATATGGCAAGCAAAGAAACACAACTGGGATAGAGCTAGTATTTTTCAATACTCTGCTCAAAAACAGGAAAGAAGGAATGGAGTGGAAAAAAAAAAAAAAAAGGAAGCTGGGGGAAATGAAGTTCATCACATTTATTAAAGCATTAGAACAGCTGTGCAGTGCTGTTTCACTGTATGGAAAAGTTTTTGTGTGTGGAAGTTCCTTCAGTCTGGTCTGCAGTCTGTGAAAGCCAATGGAAAACCCTTTCAAAGATCAGAGTGTACACTGGTACTTCAGTAATAGCTACATATGGCTGCACTGTAGCTGTGAACTCCCTTCACATTCCTGGAACCTTCAATACATACTGCTACCATCATGTTTCTGACAACTAACTGTAGGCAGTCAAAACAACTTCTGCCAGTTTGAGTTTGTTGAGTGTTTACTACAGGAAGGGGTCTAGGACAATATACTGCCACCATCTTCCCACCAGAACCTCATGGTTCATTCAGCCCCTCCGTGTAGCAACACGTGACCCCTTCCTGCTTCCCCCTCTCCACCGCCCTGCATTGCGGAAGAATTCTGCCATCACCACACTTTAGAAAAGGAAGTGGAAGCTCTGTAAATGCATCTTTGCTGATTCAGGCTTTGGGGTAGAGGATGAAAATTACCGTGGGTACGTGGGGGTCCTCGTACTTAAGATCTTTCAGGCTATGTTTATTTCACTGTGTAGTTCACTGGGTCTACAGAGCAAAACAGGTAGTGACCAAAGCTTGGGATATTTTCCTTCTGAATGTCTCTAGGCCTGCTTCATGGACTAAATACCCATTACAGATCAAAGGACATCTTCTAGTTTAGTCTTTTACGAAAGGAATCCACTCTGCTCTACCGTTTTCCTAAAATGAGAATGAAAACATGGTAAAAGGACAATCCACTTTGAAGCCATGCTCCTTATGCTAACTGAAATAGTGATGGAGAAGCACTCTAGGCATGCTTTAATAAAGAGTCTGAAGAAGTGCAGGAGATAGCTCTGTTGTGCTAGTTCTTTCTACTTGTCTGTTAATGGTCCATCACCAGGCACTGTTACTAAAAGCAAGCAGAATATCTTTCTGGTACCTATCATCAAAATTAGCAATGAAAAGGAGGAGAATAATCCAATTTCAGAAGAGCAGATCAAAGCAGAGAGTCCATAGTACATTTACTGTGACTGTGTATTTAGTAGCAAAGAGAAAATCTGTCCTTGACATTCTACAAAAGATTGTCAAGGGAATTCAGTAATTTAAGTCTCCTTACAGAGTTGATAGGACTCTCCTATCTTACAGGAAAACCATAATTAAGTAAATTAATTTAAAATTACTGCAATGTTTTCTTCAGAATTTACAAGACTTTCTGCAAAACTATGGCCTTAGCTTTAGATTCAAACAAAAGAGGACAGTGCTACAATATGATGTGCTTTTTCTCACACATCAGGGTTTAAGTGGAAGCAATGGGATAAGTACACCAGACAATAAGGGGCACAGAAAGGAAATGGTTCCAATCCTAAGAAAATGCACGTTTGACTTTTGAACCAAATGCAAAGGCAATGGTCTGAAGATCATGCACAGGAATGAAGAAGTAATGGGTATACCAGACATATTTGATGGAAATGCTGAGCTCTAGCCCTTTGCTCCACACCAAGAGGCAGTAAAAAAGCATACTTAGAATGATTACACAAACTGGACCACTAAGTACATAGAGTAAATAGTTTTCATTCGTAATACAAATGCAGACCTCTGTATACCCGTTAGTACTGGTGGAAGACAACTCTTTTCTCTCCCATCCTCCCTATCCCTCTAAAGACATTCTCAAGCAACCAAGCAGAAGGAAAAGAAGAAGAGGCAATAATAGAAGGATCACTGAAACGTAGGTTAAAGTTAATGACCTTTTACACTTTTTGAAATCAGCCATGTTTGTGTCAACTCTACACTGCTGAAAGTGGTCATTAAATACAACAGCAAAAGCAAGAGCTCCACGTTTTCCCCCAAACCCAACGTCTAACAAATGAACTCTGATAATGGATGTGCATCTTAAGGACAGCAGACACCATTGCTCACAACAAATGACAAGAAACCCTGAAGATTACTTCTTGATGCATTTAATTTCTTTTGCTATATTCTAAGAACTAGGGTATCACAAAGTGTAAGGTACACATTGTAACAGGACTAACAGGACTCCAGTTGGATCAGGTAAAAATGGGTTACAAAATATTAGGAAAAGCAATAACAAAAAATACAAACAACCTCATCCAGTCACGTATCAGCTGCAAATCCAAATTCTGAAACCCTTGAAAATCAGTCCCAGGAAAAGTTCACGGCTGCTCTTTCAAAAGAAGGACATTCCATTTCTAGGAGACTAAAAGTGGAGGAATCTCCCATGCCAACCCTCTACTTGATCTTTGTTGCCTGAAAGGTAAACTGCATCCTTGATGTATGCACCGAGGTGACCTGGGTCGCATTGCTCTGTTAGGACTTGTCGCTGGGAGGTTTCTTCTTAGCTTCCACATCCTTCTTGAACTCTTCAAGCTTCTTTGCTATGTTAGGAATCTTCCAAGATAAAAACAAAACAAACAAACAACAACAAAACAACAACAACAACACACAAATTAACAAAAAATCCTGAGCTTCATGAGCCTCAGCAGG